GATGGCGTGTGGATGCCAAAAGGTCTGTCATACAAGGGCCTAAGCAACTGTACATGTAGGTGATTGTCAAAATTATGGGCCCTTTTTGGATCCCGATTATCATACAGCACCTAATATTTGGGGTACCCAAGAAGGGACCATAATTTTGACAACCACCCATGTGATTGCCTTGGGGGCTATACCTTAGGCCATACATGGAGTCGCCACCCGCCAAAATCGGAAGGATCTGCGACTGGCTCCAACTCCCAAGCCTAAAACACTCCTAAAACAGACTTATGTGTTTAGGGTTTAGGGGTGTCCCCATAACTTGCTGATGTCATCCCTTACTAACCCTACACCCTCAACCCCCATGGTATTGCATATCCAGCGCTGGGCCGTTTAACCCCAGCACCCTGGGCTCCTTCAAGGAAGCCTTGCATGGTAACAGCCACATGGTTCAGAGTTTAGGGTTTAGGGTGAGCAAAACCCCCATGGCAGGTGCCCTGCTTGAGGGCTTGTAGCTCTGAGTTCTCAACCCTCAAACTCCTAACTTGCCCTTGAGGCTCTCTAAGGCTTGTCAACTTTCCCAACCCCACCACCCACTTACTCAAGTCAGCGTACTCAAGAAGCCTTCAAACCCATCGCATGCCTGCTCATTCTTGTTGGTTTATGGTCTAGGGCTCTGGGCTTAGGGCCATCATAACGAGGAGGAGCTACAGTGTTAGAAACACCCATATTAGGGCTAGAGTTGAGAGGGGTCAGGCTTTAGGGGCTTAGGTTTCAGGGCCTAGGGCTGTAGGGGTTTACCTCAACCCTAAACCCTAAACCCTAGGCTTGTAGGGGTTTACCTAAACCCTAACTCCCTAGGGGTTGTAGGGGTTTTAGGATGAACTTGGAATCCTGTCGGGAAACCCGGCCTGCAAGTTGTCCAGGTAAAGGGCCTGGTCTTCTAACTTACCGTTGGTTCAAAAGAAAATGGAAACTACTATGATGGTGTTATATAGGGTTTAGGGTTTAGGGTTTGGGGTGGGAATGAAGGAATAGAAAAGACAATGGAAACTACTATTTAAGGTTTAGGGTGCAGAAAGGAATGGAACAGAAAATGGAAACAACCCATAATGGCTGTTCTATAGGGCCATATAGGGTTTAGGGTTTGGAAGGAATGGAAACAATTATAATGGGTTATATAGGGACTACTATAAGGATCCATTCCTTCGCTCCTAGCTAACTCAAGGTAAGTTCGAAGAGCTGTGTTTTGCTTTGGTTCGCCATGAGGGCCTTGGGGTTTATGGGCCTCTAGCTTGAGGTGAAGGGGGTGGGTTCAAAATCACCCCACGAGTGGAGGATGAAATGACGAAGAAACTTGACAATTACATGAAAATTAGAATTGAGGATTTTGGGCTTGGGGTTGAGGAGCTTGAGGTTGCAAGTTTAGTGATTTGGGCATCTTGATCAGACGGGCGTAGGCAGCGCTCCGCGTGCGAACATCTCAAAACCAGCTGACATTGAATGGCCTGCCTCATGTTTCATGTTCTTCGGTTCTGTATCTCCCACCTGCAACACTACTATCTGAGAGGCAGCTGGCGACTTCCTGATGCTGACTCGCATGTGAAGCCTGGAGCCTCTTCATCTCCTGAATGCAAACTCTAGGCTTCCCAGTAACCCCTTCATAATAAGTGTACCCTTTTTCCTACTATTCAGCTTTAATAAGGAGACCCCCAGATGAAAAGGGAAAAAGGGCATTATTGGGGTACCTAGAACTTCTGAGAGCGGATTGTCAAGGACACAGACTCAACTCCCGAAGCTATAAACCCATTGGGGTTATATTGGGATAATGGAAAATAAAATGGAAACTGCTGTTTAGGGTTTAGTATTTGGGTAATATTGGGGTTATATTGGGAGAATGGAAAATAAAATGGAAGCAGCTATATTCTATTAGGGCAGAGGCTCTTCTTCCAGTTCATCACCATCAGCCAAACCAAATATGTGGATTCTGTTCATTGTCACGGTCTCTTGTCTGCAACACTCAAAATGACAGGCCCAACCGCACCTCCCAACGCCTAAACCCTAAACCCCAAGCCCAAGACCTTCGAAGCGCCAGGCCCCCTACTGTAGGGGAGGCAGCTGCGCACGCAGCCGAGCTCTCTCGCGAGATGACGACCTGAGTGTTCAGCGAGAAATGGTAGTTTCCCGAAATATCACGGGACCCCAATATCGACCCCAAAATACTATAGTCCTTTTTATAGGGACCCCCTAAATGGTACCCCTAATGTTGGGAAACCCCCAAATCTGCAAGAAGCTTACTTACTGGGGGTTAGTAGGGAGTAAGGGATACAGTATACAGGGACTATACCAACCACCGGTGAGTTAAGGATCGAAGTTTGATTATTTAAGGTTTTTGTTTTCCTCTAGGGACAATGAGCATGAAGTTGCTCGGGTACAGGTTGAGGTCGTCCAAGCTGTTCAGCACAGTGAAGGAGCAGAAGGTTGGTATCATCTCCTGCTTTCTAGCAGGTCGAACGATTGGGGCACAACAGCTTTGAGGCAGAACTGTCTTATTTTGCGTGGAACCACTTTACCCTCTCCCATGCAAGCTATACTGGATCGGATGACTCTTGACCGCGGCTTGTGCAGGTTTGTATAACTGCTAAACGCACTGAACCACACGACCGAGATTCTTGACAAGAAGGATCCTGCGACAACCATCTCAGCCTTTTTGCACAAGCAGATACTATTCTAGGAAGACAAGCATTCCAGGAAGACAAGCATGCAGCATGATCATGTACAAGTATGTACAGGTGCACACACAGAGGCATATAAAAGACGCCAGATGCGTTTATGTGCACACACAGCCACGAACACTTGTACGTGCGGGCGCGTGTACACGTATGAACCAGTGCACTTCACGGAATCTGTGTGCACACATGTCCCATTTGGCAGACCTTTGCGTGTGTCCGTTCTGTCAGATATGCGGGCACATGCTCAAGCGCCAAGCGTGCACGACGTTGCATCTACAACAGTACCGCCATCTGTCGGGGAAAGCACGCACGAAAGCACATTCGTGCTTGTGCTTGCTTACAGGGGTTTGCAGCAGATTTCAGCATGGAGCCACAGATTTTGACCACAAGCGCGTACGAACTTGTGACAGCACATCGACGCGCTTTGCAACCTTCACGTGAGATAGCGAGACAAGCGTTCTGCCAGCATGCGATGCGCCTTTTACAAGGTTCCACATGCACCCTCACCTGACAGGTAGTTGAAACATGGCGCCAAATTTCCTCTCCCGAGACGAAGCCCACCTAACCATCAAACCGACACGCTTTTCTCGAGGTCGTGGTAAAGTTTAACGCCACTTCGAGTTGGGAATGATATGACTCCCATGAAGCTCAGGACTTAAGGGGCTGTGGTTGTCAAGTGTGAAAGAAGATAGAAGCTTACTGCTCTGTCGACAGGGAATCAGGTGATTTGATTGTGCACGTCTTTGGACGGAGGAAGTCTTGCACGACATTATACACCATATACCCACGGAATTCCTGTTTTGTAGATGACCTATGTAACTGACTGGTTATTGGTAGGGAATATGCGATTGTATTGTAAAGGGGGAATGTAGGGATTAACATCCCAAACCCTGAACCCCTTACACCAGTAAGCCATCCGCTGTTTCAACTCAAGTGGCTGAGACTCCGCAGCTGTAGCACTGGAAACGATCCAAGCCGAAAGGTACCTGGAAATGGGCTCATTGTATGTCTTACTGGGAGTTTCTAGGGATTTTGGTGTTCTTTTTATATAGGGATTTTCCAGTGATTGTATTCCCATGGTCCCTACTAAGAACCAGCAAGATTGTATCTGGGCCTATAAAGCTCGTCACAGGCTTGAGTAGTTATATCAGGACTCTATAGGGTGATTTTCTGAATCATTCTATGTAGGGCGGGCCGCGCAAGGAGCATTTCTAGGTCAGGATTCATGCAAGCGCTCTGGGGACGTGCAGAAGCGCTGGATGGAGAGGTTGGCGCCGTACCTGTGTAAGCCCCTAGCGCTGGATGACTTCCAGGGAAGTTTGCATGCTTCGACATGTTGGGCTTCGGAACGGGACCATGGGTTCGTGGATGCTCTCTGGAGTTGTACCAGCGTTGACGTACCTGCATATGAAACGCCCTCTTCACTGCTCTGGTTTTGAACTCAGATGATGCCCCTTCACAGAATTCCGTTGACAATGCATGAAGAAGTCCCAATTAAATTAAAACATGTACGGAGGTAGGCTAGGCCCAGGACAACACGCCCTTAGAACATCGCACACAAACGCTACATAGGTTATCACCCAAGCTGGGGGGCTACACCGCGTAATTATGCTTCGGGGCTGAGCACTTTCACGCTCAAACATGAATGAACCCAAGCCCGCATCTTCACTGCAGGTGCATTCCCAACAACAGCATGCAGCCGCTCTGATGTTTCCCGGCAAGCGCAAGGAGGCTGCGTTCAGGCTCGGAGCTTGCGTTGCACAACTCGGGAGTCCCCCAACACCTGAGCGTCAATCAATGCGCTCTCACACGGTTGGAGCTCGGGAGAGAACTGCCCTCGCAAAGCTGTCTTTGGGCATCTAGTAGCTGAGTAGAGCGCAGGTACAGTGCTGCATGGACTGCAGGCTTAGGAAGTGGTGCTTAAATTTGCCAAAACTCTAGAGTTTAGGGTTTAGGGTTACTGTTCCCAAGATAGGGGAGGTTTAAACTCCTGTTAGAAAACAGGAATCCCACTCTCGGGGGCCCGTCTTTGAATCCCTAAAATTCCTGTTGAGTTTCCATGTTCCTTTCCATTTCATTCTCCAATATACTAGTGTCCATCTTCGTTTCCCGAATCTAGTGAAAGCCCCATTTGAGCTACAGTCTACAAACTCCCAATATTCCCCTGATTAACCCTTACGACATTCCCTTCTATACTCCCCTATACAACCCCGTCTAGGAGTTTATACCCTGAATGCTAAGGCCTATATAACCCCGTTTAATCCCCATTTGAGAAAGGCGCGCCTCAGTGATCCGTCGCCCATGACGGCTGCAAATGCACCCATGGCCGCCGACTGGATCTGCTGCACCTGGGAAAAATTGGATGGATCCATGCACCCATGAGCCTAGATATTTTTGCTAACGCCGGAGGCGCAATCTATGCGGTGCGCGCATTGGCGCCTGCTATGAGCCTAGCTATACCCAACATTAATACAGATTCCATACCTGAAGGTCCTAAAATCAGAAACCTTGATGGGCTAGGCACTGAAATCAACATCCCTGTGCCCTGAACCCGACAGTCCTCAATCCTAGAGACCCCAAACCTCAAAGGTTCAGAGCCTCTAACTTACTAGTGGTTAGTCGGGAATAAGGGAAGCTACTCCCTAGACAGTATATTCCCTTACTCCCTAGTAGCCACCAGTCAGCAGGTAAAGTCCTAAACAAGTCCTCGAGTGAAGGAATCCAGCCTCTTCCAAGTCTCCCCAGCTGCCGTCCCCCACATGCGCGGGATGGCCCCAGCAAACCACACGCCCCGATTCCTGGGCTCAGGATGTCAGAAGCTTCGAGAGTTTTAGAGTCAGGTCTCAATGCTTTCCGTTCCCTCCTTCTTAGCCGACCTGAGGATCCATGCTCTCTCCTACTATTATGACTACTATTATTATCATGATGATTATTATTGCGATTGCTGCTATTACTAATGCTATTACTACTAGAATTACTACTATTATTGCTATTCAGATGCATCATTCAGCTAATGAAGCTCTCCAACACATGCTATGGAGCTCAGAAAGAGTCCAGCTTCAAGGGTCCATGCCGAGACAAATCCAAAAAAGGCCAGGGCTAAAGGTTCCAAAAGGCACCTGCACCCTTACTGTACAGTCCCTCGCAAGTAGATAGAATATGGCTTTGGGTATATTACAATAACATCCCCATACACCCCATATCCACTTAAGGGGGACTATAACCGTATCAGCCCAGCCACAAGGAGGGCTGCAAAAGCCGCATCGGAAGCCTGGATCTGACGCACCTTTTTGAGCTGAGCCTGGACAGGCTCTGGGGGGTTTGGGGCTTGGGGGTTGGAGTTGTGGCTTGGGGGGGAGTGGTTGGGGCTTGTTTTGGGGTGGATTTGGGGTGTAGAGCTTGGGATGCTCTGAGGGTGTGGGATTTGGGGTTCAGGATTTTGTCCACTCATCTTGGGTTATTGTGCTTGTCAGAGTTCCTATGCTTTGCCGGTGCGCAGGAACACCGCCTCTTGCGCACAATCAGAGAGTGCAAGATTGCTTTTCAAGTTGACGACGTGGAGTATACATGCAGGGCATCAGTGAGTGGTGCCTGAGCCGCACGGCTGTCTCCGCCATAGAGTGGGTCTCCCCATGTGACCTGGAGCTCCCAAGGTGTGGGCTTCGGGGTCCTGGAGTTGAACAATTTGGGCATTTGGGATGCAGTTTTCAAGCGGCTTGCTCTGGGGCCTAGGGCCAAGGAATTTAGGAGGCCACCCTCTTCAGCAAAAGCTGGGAATGGTAGGGTCCTATGAGCCAAAAGCAATCAAGGTCCTGGAACAAAAGTTCTAATTCTTTAGTGGAGATGAGGGGACCCCTTATTGTCGAATGCCCCAATTGGTTCAGCAAACTCAGAACTTCTTCCTGTAGCAGACCTGGGCACCACCGACCCATCAGCCCGGATAGCCGCGAAGGCGCACGCGGACTTCTGGATGCACAGCACATCTTGGAGGAAGCCTTGCACGGCACCTGACACATGGCAAGACGTAGTAGCTTCCATAAACAGGAACACCCCAGTATAGACCCCGCAACTCTTTAATCCTAATGATTCGGACCCCTTTAATAGGATAAAGGCAGCCATACTTTCGGACATTCACGCGTTGGCAGCAAGGAATGGATGAATGGATCGCCGTGGTAGCCTGCAAATAAGCCCCATTAGTATAAATAACCCTAAACACAAGGTATCCGTATGAACTTGAGCTTGAATTTAATTTTCAATTTGGGTACTTCCCAATAGGATCCGATTTTGGTACCGTTGAATGTTAGGTGCCGTAATATGATATGTACCCAAAAGGAGCCCATAATTGTGAGAATAACGCATCTGATTTTCCATTCTTTACTGACAACCAGAAATTTATCCCCTCCCCATCCTTGTGGTATAGTATAGTAAGTACAGTATATTGGGAATGCTTAACATTAGGGGGGATGGGGCCAAACCCTAACCCTAATGAACCCTAAACCCTAAACCTTAGGGGTGGGGGGTGTTTAATATTAGGGAGAGGGGATTCATGTGACATCAAGGCACTGCAGTCCCCGCCGTTGTCAGGATGGCCCCAGGTCACCACAGAGCCTAAGAGTTCCCAAAGACGGCTTGGGATGTTATGGTATATTATGGTATATGATAACATATTACAGTATATCATGGTATAATATAGTATGTTACAACATATCACGATGGTACTTTAGAGTATGTTCTAATATATTGTTGTATATTATGCTGGAACAACAAACCACTGCCTTCCCGCTATATAATGCTAATGACTTTATGATTTTGGCATTGTTGTGGCTGTGGGATTTCCAAAACGGGGAACCCCCTAAACAATTAGGGGAAAATATGTTTTCCCTAAACAATTGGGGGAAACATATTTCCCACCCAAATGTTTTGTCCTGGATTACTGTAGGAACCCCAAATAAGGACCCCTAATTGAACCCCATGTGGGGTGCGCTGTTCTTGGTCCCAAGAGCCGTCTCGCACGACCGCAGCAAAGGCGCCTGATTCCGTGGCTTGAATGGCGAACCTTATTTTGGGTTATAGAGGGTTAAAAAGGAATATAAACGATTACATAGGGTTACATAGGGTGATTCAATCAACATATAAGGTCTCTCGTGCGGAGGCTTAATCATGAACCTGGGCCAGCGTGGAATGCAGATAGTGCCGACATAGGCTCCATGGCATATCTAAAGAACAGAAGTTTAGAACAACCCCGAAAATGGACCGCTATCCCAGCAACATCCCGGAACGCACGAACGGGTACAATCCTTTAGGAACCATAAAAAAATTCTGACGATGAAAGAGGAACACACTCCGAAGCTGATGCTGCACGCCCGAGCTGTCGCCACCTTGACACTTCCACAGTTAGGGTCCCATTCTGGTACACCTAAGCCTAAATACTAGGTGCCTTGATAGACTGAAAATATCCCTAATAACTCTATGGGGACAATGTAGGGACCGGCACAGTCTAGGCATTACATAAGCATGGGAAAGGGATTGTATAGGGATTATGGAAAAGAATCTGGACATGACCATTTTGAGAACAGCCCCACCTAGGTTCGGGTCTCCCCAGGTGACCACTGAGCCATCCTGTAACAGGGCCGCAAAGGCCCCCCGCGTGGCCTGGAAGGGAGTGGAAGAACTTCGGCTTAGGTATTAGGGTACTAAATAACCCCTGATATCCCGCTGAGGTCATCTAAGACCATGATATTGGTTTTGTTTGGGCCCCTGCAGTACGTATGCTAAAAAAGACTAATGTACCTATCTAAAACAGTAATGCCTCTGAGGCAATCTAGGATATCAGCATGTTATAGCTTGGGTCGCTCCCGTGACAGCAAACGTGAGAACTGCGGTAACATACCATGATTACTCATGATAGCTGGCGCAATCTGAGTGAAACCCTCCACATTCCGTGTAACACGACTGATTCAAACAAACCTGGCTATGCCGATCACCCTCGTCAAAGCCGGAACACTGCATGTGTATCTGTGTCAGAATACACTTGCCTAACCTCGCTGCTCCTACCGCAGGGACCTACATAGTACTATGCCGTGATTAGATAAAGATTGTAAGAGGATACAATCACTAGCCATTGCGGCTTCTACAGTAACAAACAACCTAAACCCTAAACGCTAATGTTACCCCAATATAACCCAAACCTCAATATTCAATATACCTAGAGCAATTTCCATTTGATTTTCCATTATCCCAATATAATCCCCAATATACCTGCGGCTTTGCATCTTGGGGTCTGTGCCTGAATTGCCGACACGTCCCGTAGCTGATCTCGCACAGCCGCGCTGTCTCCACCAAAGTCTCTGTGCCCCCAGGTGACGACGCGGCCGTCCCCTAGAACTACACCAATAAGGGTTGGAGGGATTCTATAGAAGGATATGGTGTCTACCATCTATCAAAGCCTTGTTGACCACATGCAAGACTGGGGTTTCCCCAAGCTAAGAATAGATACTGTGGTAGATCTGCAGAGTCTTAATTCGGTGCTATGGCGCTGCGTCCCTGCCGGACTCAGGCGCAAAGGAAACAGGAAACAGGTAGATCTGCGTGCTATAAAGGTCTATTATAAACATTGAAACTCTGAATCCCCTTACCACAAGCTCAAGCTCCCACACTCTATTTCACAATAAGGACCCCATAATCCCATGTATCGCTACGTAGGATCCCAAAGCTTCAAAACAGCTTTCCGAGCTGCCCCGAACAGCGGAGAAGGCGCGACTGCTGGCGCAAATGCACCGCACGCCCTTCAGGTCAGCCTTGCCATGCGCGGCAACTAAGTAGAGCCTAAGTCTACACTGGCCTCTACAACTACATGGGATTGTATATACACACAAGATCACACAAGGAAGGAAACGGCTGGTGATTGGTCTCAGATCTTGGGTACTTGACGCTATGCACTCCACTCCACGTAAATCCGAGTCATCATGTTTCCAACCTCCCCATCTTGGGGCATACCGCTCTAGAGCCAGTAGGCACTACAGCAAACCGGAACAAAAATATCCCTGAATGTAGTAGTTTCCATCTTCTTTTCCATTATCCCAATATTAGCCCTATATTACCCTATATTATCCCAATATTAAGACCTGCCTCCACGTTGCGACAGTCACCGCCGGATGCGGCCTCACCCCAGGCCACGACGGAACCGTCAGCTCGGAGGCCAGCAAAGGCGCTGCCGAAGGTGTTCCCGGACGCCTGCCAACATCAAGGCGGCCAAAGTTTCATCAGCATCGTCGTAGTAGTAGTAGTAGTAGCAGCAGCAGTAGTGGTGGTAGTGGTGGTGGTGGTAGTAGTAGTAGTAGTAGTAGCAGCAGCAGTAGTAGCAGGAGGAGGGGAGTACTAGTACTACTAGTAGGCGTCGTCATCCTCATGGTCATCGCCGTTATCGTAGCAGGAGGAGGCGCTGGAAGAAGTGATAGCGATGATGATATAATGCTAATGCTAAACTGCTGAATGCATGGTCTATAGATTTTTCAGATGACCCCAGTAATTGAAGCTCCTGGATGTGCGTCACGTCCTTCAGCTGCTCGCGAACCTGTCACCAAAGCCCTCAATTCCAGAGGAAACAAAGTTTTGACAATGCTTTCCATAACAACACAGGTCATAATGCTTAAGCCGATTGCATGAGAAGTTTTGTTTCGTGGTCCCACTTGCATGGCAGACAAAAGGCCAGACTGGGAGGTCTTTGGATGCGGATCCTGGCAGCTCGGTGCTTTCCTTCGCACACCTTGACAGACCTGGATTCAAATGGTTGCCTCAGCGTGAAAGCCAACAAAAATATTTGAGACTTGAAGCCTAACAGTCAGGAAACTAGCTAATCGAGAACGCTGAAACCAAAAAGAAACGGGCGCCGGAAACGATGCTTGCCCTTCCTGCACATCCCTGCGCCATCTTGAGCAGCGCATACAGACTGAATGGTCAGCTGATACTGCGTCCTCCCATAATTTCGAGTGTAATCAAGAAGCGGTTCCCCAAAGTCCACATCCTAATGAATCCCAGAAAATAGCAGCAGTCATCTTGAAATTGAACCAGTTCGAGAGCACCATGAACCGTATCTGATCAAGCTCTGAATGAAAGCCAAGGGCAATCCTTTTAGGACCAAGCTTGGAGGAGAACTGTACCAAGCGCAGCCCTCTCCCCTAATTCAAGAGATTCCATTTTCTTTTCCATTCTCCCTATATACCCCCAATATTATATTATAGTAGTTTCCATTTTCTTTTCCATTATCCCTATATGCAGGGCCACCTGGTGGCTGTCTCCACCAGCACCAGAATGTCCCCAAGTCACCTCAGCTTTGGTTCAAGCCCCCTGGATTCCAGCGAGAATAGTCTGGATAATGAGGTCTATTGCGGTCCTCCAACCTTTTGGCAGCTTTCCCAACACAACTCACCTGATCCTACTCGAGTTGGACGAGGTCAAGATGGTACGGGCATACCGTGGTTCGTGGAGGGCCTTCCCAGGGTTTCGAGGAAGCGTTTGTAGGAGTTCTTTCGCCTCTTCGGCTCTGAGGACCAAAGTTATTTCAGCGCTTCAACATGTTTGGGCCAAAGTGGCCTCGGAAAACCCCAATTTCAACTACAGCAGCATTCCCCATTCATGCTGCAGCTCCAAAGGACGCGGTCCCCTACACAATGGCGCGTGCAAACCAGACATTTGGGTCTAGGGCATAGGGTCCAGACACACCCGTCCAAGCCACTACGCTGCCATCACCACGGATCGCTGCGAATGCGCGCGTTGATGCCTGGATCTGCCGAACATCCTCCAGCTGGTCTTGCACGGCGCTGCTATCCTGGCACAGACATTGCATTACATGTTGCGCTGATTTGCTACGGCACCTAACTTATACCAGAAACATCAAAACATAAATCATGGCTCCTTGCTCACAAAATTGGAAAATCAAACTGGCTCAAACTCATAACAACAAACTTTCTTCCGTTTGGAACCTTCGGGCGCCTCAAGGCTTAAAATTCAAAAACAGGCTACCCATCCGAAAACAGGGTCGTCCACTGTCTCAAAAGGAACTGAAAAAACTTGAACACCATGAATTTCAACTGGAGACCATCAATTTCGGAACACCTTCATGCGTGACTCCAGACCCTGCATGAAGTAGCCTGACGAAGCATGTTCATCCTAAATGACACAGACGCTACATTGTTTCGAGCTTCAGAAGAGTGTCCCCGCCGTAGTCTGCATCTCCCCAAGTGATCACAGAGCCATCGCCCAACAGAGCCGCAAAAGCACTGGCAAAGCTGTCGCCACACGCCTGCACAAGGTTTGGGATGCAATGATGCCGGGGGGGGGGGGTTAAAGCTCGTTGGGTAACGCGGAGAAATTACGCCACCACTTTGAACCATGCTCCTTGATGCCAAGTTGTCACAACATTCACTCCTTGAAGCCCTTCTGTTCCCGTCAATGAAACACCTCATCTACATTGCATTCCCTCTTGACGGCTGTCCAAATCTGTCCTATCATTGCGGCATTGCACGCAAAAGAACGAAATGCGCCTGGATGTGTTGCACGTCGTTCAACTGACGTCGGAGGACATCCGAGCCATGAATTCGGTCACCTCAATTGCAAAAGAAACAAGAATGACATGTACAGCGGAAGGCAATTCAGCCACAGCCGAGTGCTGGTCGACCACAATGGCATGCATGTGCATGCACTCTCAGCTGGACATGGGCATTCCTAACAGCATTTGGCAGAGTGCGAGCATTTGCATCCTCACAGAGAGGCTTAGGACAATCCAACTCTGCCTGCGTGCACATGCAAAACTGTGCTTGCAAACACACCGATGTGTGCAGTAATGCGAAGAAGCGTGCAAACATGTATATGCCGAAGAGCGCATTCGCGTGCCAAAGGTGCAATGTAACCTCGCATACGCCGCTGCGCATACATACGCATGTGTCAATGTGGGCACGCCTGCGCATTCTGAGCGCGCAAGCCGGGCTGACAAGGGGCAGGCACACGCAGTGAAAAAGCAAACCAGCATGCACACGTATGTAGTGTTTGCTGGAAATCATTGAGGACTCTGAGTGCGTGCGTGCTTGGCACAGCGCGTGTGAACACGTAGGCTGGCATGTGCTAACGCATGAGCACTGCGCATCTCAAAGATGGCACGAGCAGCAACGCATGTCAACGCGGGCTTGATGCTGCATGCGCAAACCCACTAGAATATGCACACGCGCAAAGAAAGAAGCACGCAAACCTTAGCCAGGGTGATGAGCGCAAACTTCTGGAGGATTTGTGTGCGTGCACGCGCTTCCCAAGGAATGTATGCGAACATTGGCAACGCACGAACAAGCACATCAGGGACCAGCAAAAGCACATATCTGCGCGCACCCGCAAGCACGCACAGATTTCGCGCATGCGTACTCAGGCCTATGCAGAAAGATTGGCGAAGTAGGCCAGCAACTCGGAATCAACCGCATCACGTCTAGCGGCTGATGACCAAGCCTTAAACTTTGCTGCGTGCGAATTCGCTCGACAACCTGAGCTGTGAAAACTGCCTGGTCTGATGGACATAGTATCCCACCAACCAACACCAGCAATGGATAACCGCGTCAAAGAGCTAGCTGATGTTCAAGCAGTGGCGACGCTTGCACAGCGCAGCATCGATGAGACGGTTTCGCAAGTTTAGGATTTCAGGTCTTGTACTGGGAGTTTGGGGCGCAGAATCTACTGTGAAGTTTTGTGGCTACGGGTCAAAAAATCCAGTGGTTGCCAATCGGCTTTAAAGTTCATTTTCCATCTTCCAACTTCGTCCAAGCTGTGGGTACCTCTGTTGCACAACCAGGAAACTGATTTCAAAAATCGGGCACCAAACTTTACTGCCAGGAAGGCGCAGACGCATGTCCGTACCAACATGTGGGCGTGTAGGCAACAGTTGTGGGTGCACGGAGACATGTGTCTTTGCACATTCACATGGGCGGACACACACACACACACACACACACACATTCATCTGCGTCCTACCAGTAACATATGTATGAACACACAGATCATAGGAAGTCCTGGGGGTACCCCATAGGGGCCACCCCAAATGCAAAGGAGTTATCGAAGGCTTCGATGGGCCTCGATCAGCTTCCATAAGCTTCGATAGGCTTCAAAAAGCACAAATAAGCTTCAATAATGCCCGTGATGGCCCGGCAATCTTCAACAGAGCCTCTGTCAAGCCTCAGTAGCTTTCGAAGGCAATATCTAACAAAACCATCGAGGCTCCCCCGAAGAGACTATAGTCGGGCGTCAATAGCAATATTGAGCCGCCGCAGGCCTTTACTGAGTAGCCTAGATTTGATGTTTTTCGTTATCGAGGTTGCCGTTAATGAATGTTTGGGCGCGTTTCCAGCGCCAGTTGAAGCTGCATGGGTCGTGTGATCGGGTGTTCTTGTCGGGTCTTTTATCTTCGATTGGGACCTGCTGCAAACACACTTGTGTGAACAGCTGGGTAAGCTTCAATAAATTGTTTGCGTTTGGGGAGGCCTCTATGGGGTAACCCCCGCAGCGTCCTATGCACAGACATGTGTGTCTGTGCACAAGCATCTCCGCATCCAAAACCCAACCTCCTCTACACAAGCAGCTCACATGCTTGTGCGTGCGTCCGAACATGTGTCTGTGAGATTCATTTCTTGGCAGGAAGTAACTGTGGCACAATGCCACCTTTGCGCAGAAATACATGTCTTTGCACATATACCGACGTGTGGGCCTACAAGCACATATTGTAAACATGTGTGCCCGCGTACATTCGCATGGGCGGACAAAAAGACATCTGTGCGCGCACACATGCATTTGCGTCCGAACACATGTATGAACACACACATGCGTCCGTGACTGTCCGTGCACTATCCACAATCGCCTCCACAGAAACCGTGCGCATGCATGCACTTCCGAACATGCGCATCAATATATGTGTGCACCACAACATTGTGGCACAATGCGACGCCGTGCAAACATAAAGGTGCCGGCATCCGTTTACAGTCAAATGTGTGGACATACAAGCACATGTGTACACACACACACATGCATGTGCGTCTGAAAACATGCACACGCGAACGCACGCGCTTCCGCCTCATGAATCTGTGTGCGCGCATGAACACTCAAAAAGTGCTTCCGCGGAAGCAACTTGGCATCCATGACATTTTTTGATAGCTGCACACATGCATATGCGTCCGAGCACATGTATGTCCAAACACGCTTCTTGGCGCACTCGTGCACGCGCGCGCAAACACATAAAAGTGTGTTTGTATGCAAACATTTTCGCATCCACCATCTGCTTTGCGGAGGTGGCACATGTCTGCACACGTTCGGATGTGAGCCTGTGCATTCACTGACAGCTATGCGTTTGCGTATGGTGGCGTACGCATGTCCCACCATGTCCCCACGCAACAGCCCTACGCCTTTATGCAATGCCCATCCCTGACACAACAAACTACAACAAACCACTTGCGCACATGCAGGTTGCATAAATAGCACTGCAAGTTGCAGTCAGGATTAACCATAAATTTTGGAACGAACTTGACTCGTGACAATACAACAACGCACCAGCTTAGAGTCTCCCTGAATTCCAGCAAACGTGCTTTCTCAATATTCTAAATCCTACAAGCCTACAATAGCCTGCTCACACCGAGCCACCCCAGGTCAGCACGGAGCCATCAGCATGGAGCACAGCAAAAGCCCCCTGCCTTGAGGGTCCAGGAGCAAAAAAAGAGTCTACTTCACAGGAGCGTAGTGGAGCATGCCTAACGACGCTGTGCAATGTCTAATGCTTGTTGAACTGTTTCCGTTTATTCTGTGGCTCCAGCGGAGGGTCAACAAAAAAAAACAAATGTACCACCTCTTGAGAAATCCTCAAGGATAGCCCAAGCTCTCTCCCTGCACAAACTCTGACGCCATCAGCCGAAGCCCAAGCCGAAAACTTCCGCCCTGAGCTCACACCCCAAAGGAATTAGGGTTTAGGGTTTAGGTTTTAGGGTTTAGGGTTTAGGGTCCCAAACGAACAAAGCCCTGCAAATCTACAACCTGACGCAGCAGCCACATGCAGTCTCCCAGGCTTCCCCTTGGTGAAGGCCACGGTGCGAGGCTGCGATCTGGGTTTGCCGAGCCGCCGCGCCCAGGGTCTGTTCCAGTCAACCAATAGGGGATGATATAGGGATCAATTGGGTTTAGGAACATTACACCCGATACTGGAAAATCAAATGAAAACAGCAAATGGAAAATGATACAGTAACTTGGGTATATGAGGATGTATGGCGTTTAGGACAGGGTTCAAGAGCTTCGGATTCGGGATGTTGAGAGGTTTGAGGCGCAGGGCTGTTAAAGTAGGAGTTCAGCATCTGTATCTAGCGTATGAGCACAAAGGCGCTTGGATATTCAGGGTTTGAGGTGACTGACTCTGCCATCTTAGGGCACGAAGACTTAACGTCTTAGTCTGAGGTACGAGGGGGTTTTCCAAATTAGGGGTACCTTTTGGGGGGTCCCTACAAGAAGGGTTACTGTATTTTCTCCTTAAGAATGGACACCGCCACGAGGACTTTTTGTCTCAACCCGTCCTAGTGGCCGTTGGCAATACCTGCTCGTATGACGTTCAGGACCCAGCCCCCCAACAAGGCATACATTTAGTGAAACCGTCCGGCCCTCACCCCTCCGTGGCAGTCAGGACCCCTTCTAAGGGTTAACCCTTAGGTACTTGTAAAAGGAGTAGAAGGGAATCCCAAAGGGTTAAGGGTCTAAGGTCCAAGCTAAGTCCCAAGGAGACCCTAAACCCTAATAATGACCCTCAAATATGGCATCATT